GGTCAAGGTCCCTGGAAGGTCAATGTCTGTATTCTGGTGGTTCATGATAATAATAATAATAATAATAATAATAATAATAATAATAATAATAATAATAATAATAATAATAATAATAGTTTATATCTACAAGTACATGTACAAGGTATACAATCCTAGCTGACAACAGTGACATAATACTATATATAAAACCACTTGTTATGCAGAGCATTTCAGTCAAATTAGGTCAATTTTGTCCTAGGATGTGTCAAACATACAGGTACCCATTACACTGATGGGTGAACACTGAGCAGTATGTGTATTAAGGGAAACACGTCCTAACATTTCACCCGTACCGGGGATCGACCTCCGGACCTCAGTGTGTGAGTTAAGTGCGCTAGCATTCGAGCTACGGGACCAGTGTTATCAGTTTCTTTACTACTGTCACGTTCAGTGTCCTAAGACAATAGGCGAATGATATACATGAGTGTTTTATGTGTCACAGGTTATAATGCTGACTCACAATCTAGATAGGCATACTTCGGCTCTCGCCACATCACTGATGTACGTTTCCCATTCACGTTGTGTCAGTGTGGAGATACATTCAAGCTGTGTCAGTGCAGAGATACATTCAAGCTGTGTCAGTGCAGAGATACATTCAAGCTGTGTCAGTGCAGAGATACATTCAAACTGTGTCAGTGCAGAGATACATTCAAGCTGTGTCAGTGCAGAGATACATTCAAGCTGTGTCAGTGCAGAGATACATTCAAGCTGTGTCAGTGCAGAGATACATTCAAGCTGTGTCAGTGCAGAGATACATTCAAACTGTGTCAGTGCAGAGATACATTCAAGCTGTGTCAGTGCAGAGATACATTCAAGCTGTGTCAGAGCAGAGATACATTCAAGCTGTGTCAGTGCAGAGATACATTCAAACTGTGTCAGTGCAGAGATACATTCAAGCTGTGTCAGTGCAGAGATACATTCAAGCTGTGTCAGTGCAGAGATACATTCAAGCTGTGTCAGTGCAGAGATACATTCAAGCTGTGTCAGTGCAGAGATACATTCAAGCTGTGTCAGTGCAGAGATACATTCAAGCTGTGTCAGTGCAGAGATACATTCAAGCTGTGTCAGTGCAGAGATACATTCAAGCTGTGTCAGTGCAGAGATACATTCAAACTGTGTCAGTGCAGAGATACATTCAAGCTGTGTCAGTGCAGAGATACATTCAAGCTGTGTCAGTGCAGAGATACATTCAAGCTGTGTCAGTGCAGAGATACATTCAAGCTGTGTCAGTGCAGAGATACATTCAAGCTGTGTCAGTGCAGAGATACATTCAAGCTGTGTCAGTGCAGAGATACATTCAAGCTGTGTCAGTGCAGAGATACATTCAAGCTGTGTCAGTGCAGAGATACATTCAAGTTGTGTCAGTGCAGAGATACATTCAAGCTGTGTCAGTGCAGAGATACATTCAAGCTGTGTCAGTGCAGAGATACATTCAAGCTGTGTCAGTGCAGAGATACATTCAAGCTGTGTCAGTGTAGAGATACATTCAAGCTGTGTCAGTGCAGAGATACATTCAAGCTGTGTCAGTGCAGAGATACATTCAAGCTGTGTCAGTGCAGAGATACATTCAAGCTGTGTCAGTGCAGAGATACATTCAAGCTGTGTCAGTGCAGAGATACATTCAAGCTGTGTCAGTGCAGAGATACATTCAAGCTGTGTCAGTGCAGATATACATTCAAGCTGTGTCAGTGCAGAGATACATTCAAGCTGTGTCAGTGCAGAGATACATTCAAGCTGTGTCAGTGCAGAGATACATTCAAGCTGTGTCAGTGCAGAGATACATTCAAGCTGTGTCAGTGCAGAGATACATTCAAGCTGTGTCAGTGCAGAGATACATTCAAGCTGTGTCAGTGCAGAGATACATTCAAGCTGTGTCAGTGCAGAGATACATTCAAGCTGTGTCAGTGCAGAGATACATTCAAGCTGTGTCAGTGCAGAGATACATTCAAGCTGTGTCAGTGCAGAGATACATTCAAGCTGTGTCAGTGCAGAGATACATTCAAGCTGTGTCAGTGCAGAGATACATTCAAGCTGTGTCAGTGCAGAGATACATTCAAGCTGTGTCAGTGCAGAGATACATTCAAGCTGTGTCAGTGCAGAGATACATTCAAGCTGTGTCAGTGCAGAGATACATTCAAGCTGTGTCAGTGCAGAGATACATTCAAGCTGTGTCAGTGCAGAGATACATTCAAGCTGTGTCAATGCGGAAATACAAACAGAACAGCATATGTGTGGAGTCTTGTTTTATCTTGATTGTTTTTCTTGCCACTAAGTAGTGCAAGTAAGCAATTTTGACACGATACTTATGTTTTGTTTCGTTAATCACATGGCGTTTACTTCCCACTTACACAGCAAAGCTGTTTTCACTGTTGAAACATCCTCGTATGTTCATTTTAATTTGAGAAAAGAAATCATTTAATAGAACAAAAGAAATCGAAAATAAACATGGATATGTGAATGAGTAGAGAAATGTAATTTAAGCAAAATAAACACCGATCTACACAGTGAAGAATAACCTTCTGCAAATATGTCTGAACACTGGGATGGCCAGAGCACAAATATGTCTGAACACTGGGACGGCCAGAGCACAAGTGATGCTCTCCGACTCTTCCTGACAAGCTGACATGATGCCTAGATTCATATTTATACATGTAGGTTGACAGTATCATGGTTTTCCTCGCACGTGTATTCAAGTTTATACATATAACGTAGAACCACTTGTGTTGCAAGCATCTTATGTGACGGGTTTGTTGTAACTTCAGACTCTGTGGCAGCATATCAAAAAAAAAACTAAAATGCTATCATTTCTAGAAGCAGTAAATTTCACCATGTTTTTACTAACTCATTATAAGTGATTCCCTAATTAAGCCATAATGAGTTCCAGGAATAACTGAAATTAATTCGAAGTCCGCAGAATGGAGGCGTATGTCTTGCTGGTGGTCCAGTGAGCAGCTTAATCAGTAATGTCCATCTGTAAGCTTCGCTTTTGTGTAATTTATCAGATTTATTAATTTATTTTCTATGTAGTATTTATATTTATTGAGAAATTTTTCGTTACTTCAAATCCTAAGCGCCCATAATAAGTTCTTCATTGATTCAATTCCTGTGAGCAACTCCCTCCCCCCCAAAAAAAAAAAAATGATCGCCACCCCTTATTTGATTATGATTTGTGAGTTCATCTTTACTGGCGGGCAGCTTCATAAATTTGAAAGTAAAACAGTTGAAATTAATGCAGAGTTCTGTCAATTTTCGGGAGGTAGAGGATTAAGGTTCTAATTGACTTTACGTCACAGAACGTCAATGGCTTGTGTGGCGGGAACTTTAGTGAAGAGGAAAGTTACGTTGTTCTGAGGCGAACATCGAGAAAAAGGAAGGGAATCATTTACCTCTTGTTCCAAAGCGAATTAGTTGTTCAATTCGGTTTAATTGGTCTACGAAGTTAAACCGAATGGGATCAATGATGACAATATTGCCCACGTATGAGCCAACTAATATTCTGTGGTAAGACATTATTCAAATGGTCTTCTACCATGTGCTCCATATAATGAAGACCAAACAGCACTTAGCGGACTGAGATCCAGTTGCCAAGCCAAATTTTTTTCTGTAATTTTGAGTACCAAGCGAAAATAAATACAAGCTCATACACGCTTCAATGAAATCAGTGAAATTCGGAGTGTTTATGCTGAACACAAAGTTGAAGGTGTCATGGTTACGTTGAGAGTAAATAACTTGGTCAGACGGAGACCTGAAAAGCGAAACAATGTCAAGGTTTGCTATCTTCCTGTTTTCGAAATTAATGCCTTGGAATTTAGACATCAGATCTTCCGAATGACGGTGAAAAAGATCATTCTTATTAACTGGAATAGACTTTTCGCAGGTACGCCACCTGGTTGTTGTAAAACATTCCTTATTCCTGAGGTAATAGCTGTGATCGGTATTCTGGACTGGCAGGTCTTTGGTAACTCATACATGCATGCCCGTTGTGATGTATCGTTCAGGCAACGTTGGAGCCATTTTTTTCTTGCAGTCACAGTAAATACCTTGAATAAAACCGTGTACGAATCTTGAATACAAGTGACTGTAATATCTGCTTATTATTTCGGTATGTTGCATGGTTATTGTATACTTGTGGTAAAATTTAGTGTCAGGGTCAGTGGTTCAGACTGGGTGTCAGTGATGCTAAACGAGGAAATGGTATAAATAATGCAAGGTTTGTCAACATTATTCCTCGTCCTGTTGCTGCATGAGTGTGCATTTTTAGTCGTAGTCGTTGAAACAAACTAAAATAGGCATGAAAATAACCCACTGTTTAGCATAACTATTCGTTAATAAAGTTTCAAGACATTAAATCAAGTTAAAAGCAATTAGAATTTATCAATTATTACAAACCAAGTTTCATATTAAACCTCACATTGCTTTGTATTGGGAACCAAAGACTAACTGCATAGAATGTGAATCCGTGGAGCAGCATAACAGATAATGATATGCTAGGAGGTATTATCTCCCTGTCTGAAGGTCATTTCTGAGTAAAGGCATAGTCATGATAAGTTCAATCTCCTTATCATATGCTCATATATATATATATATATGCAAGTAACTCTCTAACGTAAATCAAAATATGAAGAATCTAGCTTAAAGATTTTATAAATTGCTCTTCTGTAGGCACAAATATTAGAAAAATTTATACTGACAATGAATTATAAATGATAAAACGATTGTTTGGCATCTATTGTTGATAAAACAGAAGATGACTAAGTGTATTGTGTGTGTTGGTGACACTACCACACTGCCTGAGTATTTCACTCCCTCAGTGTGTAACGGTGAGTGTGATGGTGACACTTCCACACTTCCTGAGTGTTCCACTCCCTCAGTGTGTAACGGTGAGTGTGATGGTGACACTTCCACACTTCCTGAGTGTTCCACTCCCTCAGTGTGTAACGGTGAGTGTGATGGTGACACTTCCACACTTCCTGAGTGTTCCACTCCCTCAGTGTGTAACGGTGAGTGTGATGGTGACACTTCCACACTTCCTGAGTGTTCCACTCCCTCAGTGTGTAACGGTGTCTTAGTGTCACTAACACACTGCCTAAGTGTTCCTCTCTATATGTGTGTAACAGTGAGTGTGTTGGTGACACCACAGTTCTGCCATAGTGTCCCCCACAAACAATGTGTGATGGTGTGTAGTGAGTTAAAATTTAGTTTTCTGAAAGAAATTTCTTGGGAGCATCCTAGAAATGGAATAAAAAATATAAGAAATGTATTAAACATGTGAGAGACGATTTTCAGGATTGATTAATTATGTGTTCTTCAGTACCTGGAGTGATCGTTCATGTTTATATAAGTGTCTAGAGTGAAAACTTTTGCATGCATCCTTTGATACATGGATTGATCAGTCTTGCATCAGTTGATGCTTAGAATGATCACGGAATTTTTCAATACCTTAAGTGATCAATCATTCAAATACATGGAGTGAATAACGATCATTCCTTATATAACTGGACCGAATAGGAATGTTTCTTTAAGTTCCTGATGTAATCAGTGTTGCATTCTTCATTATGAGGTGTGATTAGTGATGCGTTCTTCAGTTCCAGGAGTGATCAACGTTACGTCTTTAATTACGTGGAACGTTCAGTGGCATGTTAGACGTTTGGTATTGAAATACGAATTATCTAACATCGGTGTTGACGTCTTGATAACGAAAGTGTTTGATGTTATGGTTGACGAATATCACGAAAGGTAAATGTTTAGTTCTTCAGCAACTATTGTTATTATATCTTCATATTTCAATACTGGAAATTGTTCTGCAGTCCATGAACAATCCCAGCATTGTTATTGACGAACTATGTAGTGACGATGTAGTGACGCTGTAGTGACGATGTAGTGACGATGTAGTGACGATGTAGTGACGATGTAGTGACGATGTAGTGACGATGAAGTGACGATGTAGTGACGATGTAGTGACGATGTAGTGACGATGTAGTGACGATTTAATGACGATATAGTGACGATGTCGTGGCGATGTAGTGACGATGTAGTGACGATGTAGTAACGATGTAGTGACGATGGAGAGCACCAGTAGTAGGCGCGTTTATTACCGAGGGAGATCACTTCCGTGAGTGCTCAGTTTTGCACCTTCATCACTGGAAATGATCAGTTCGGAGAGTGCTGAAGATAAAATATACTATCAGAGTGATAGATCATAACCTGGAGTACTGATAGTCATTACTGAAAGTGATTTAATCCGAGGACCGATCATTATAGTTGATAATTAATTCTTGCAGTCACCATCTATAAGACTTTTCAAAACGCTAAGAAATCAAAAGAGGCCGTGAATAATTTCAGTTATCAGTAATAACTGACCAGTATTAAGAGTGATAAAAATGAATCCTTAATATTTAGTGACTAATTCCAGGAATGATTAATACATTAAGAAAGGTGACCAATAAAGAGTAAGGTATCAATAACCTGAGTGATCAATACTGACTTATTGCACATCCTCGTAGGGATAACTTCATGTGGATGACAAAATTAATTTAATTTTCCCTCATGATATACATTTATAGTTTAAAATCGTCTGATTCTTCAGGCCTCAAATTTTCGACACTGGCGTTACCTGGAGAGGGTTTCGGGGGTCAACGCCCCCGCGGTTCGGTCTATGACCAGGCTTCATGATGAATCAGGGGCTGATCAACCAGGCTGTTACTATTGGCCGCACGTAAACCGACGTGTGAACCATATCCCGGCTGATCAGGTACTGACTTCAAGTGTCTGCCCAGTGCCTTCTTGAAGACAGCCAGGAATCTATTGGTAATCCCCCTTATGTATGCTGGGAAGTAGTTGAACAGTCTTGGGCCCCTGACACTTATTTTGTCTCTTATTGTGGTAGTGACGCCGCTGCTTGTCACTGGGGGGATGCTGCATCTCCTGCCCAAGTCTTTTGCTTTCGTATGTAACAATAAAAAAAAACTCATGCAATTATTGGCACTTGCAAGCGCTCTCAAATAGAGTTTGCTATATAAGTCATTCTTGATTGTGATTACCATGCGATAATTTGAGAATACTTCTTTAGATCGGCTTTAAACTCTTGTTACTGATGTTTTTCTACTTAGAAATTTAGAGTTGTTTTTGACATACCAAGATAACTGCCAGTTATATGTCAAAATAATTGTGGGGGATTATCACGAGAACACTCTCAAAATTATCATTACACCCACACTTGAGGGAGAACACAGAACCAAACTGTAACTTACTGAAGTTGATGTATCCTGGAGACTTGGGAAATAAATATTTCTTGCAGTGTTGTAGTGAAATGAAAATAGAATATAATTGTAAAACGAAAAACGTTGAAAATTAGCGTTTTACGGCTTTATAAGCTTTACGAGCCTAATGAACACTTGAAAACTGTGTGTATTGCTGAGTCTACAGCGTCCTAATGTATTGCTGAGTCTACAACGTCCTAATGTATTGCTGAGTCTACAGCGTCCTAATGTATTGCTGAGTCTACAGCGTCCTAATGTATTGCTGAGTCTACAGCGTCCTAATGTATTGCTGAGTCTACAGCGTCCTAATGTATTGCTGAGTCTACAGCATCCTAATGTATTGCTGAGTCTACAGCGTCCTAATGTATTGCTGAGTCTACAGCGTCCTAATGTATTGCTGAGTCTACAGCGTCCTAATCTTCCTCCATGATTTTGTTTATAACTTCAGAAAGCCTTATCCAATTGACTCCAATTTTTTTTCCCTTAAGTTTAACTAGGATAAGGTTCATGGATCTACTGTGAAGGGCAGATGGCCATTTTTTTTCTATTTAACAGTTATTCTCATTTTTTTATTGTGGAAACTTGAGAATGCCTCATCTGATCGACTTTAAACTTTCAACACGTTAAGTACCCAACTTAACGGTGAGTGTAGTGAGGCAGTTAGGATATGCTTCCACTGAGCATCAATTTTTTAACAATGATTCATTTCGTAAATTGATGATGCCATTTAAGTTTATGATACGTAGCTGAAAATTTACCATAATATGCTAGCATAATTAATAACCTTGATTTTTGAGGGGATTCTGAACAATAACAGGAGCATGCGTCTTGTGATCGGCTTCAAACTTATGGCACTAGTGTGTTTTTGTCAAAGATACACATTGCTTTTGGACTGTCTATGGTTTTATTTGCCAGTATTATTGTAGATAATGATTTTTGAGAAATAACTAGAAAAATGTCTTCTCTGATCGGCTTCAAACCTTAACAGTTGGTTTATCGTATAGTACATAGAGAAATTACAGACTGTGTTGATGCCACTTTGACAATTTCATTTATGAAATGGAAGAAAAAAAATTTTTTTCATTCATGGTTTTTGTAAATACCTCATCTGATTGACTTTAAATAATAAAAGTTTATATGTTGGGAATGTAACTATTGAGTTTATATAATGGGAATGTAACTGTTGAGTTTATATGTTGGGAATGTAACTGTTGAGTTTATATGTTGGGAATGTAACTGCTGAGTTTATATGTTAGGAATGTAACTGTTGAGTGTATTAGTTGGGAATGTAACTGCTGAGTTTATTTGTCGGGAATGCAACTGTTGAATTTATATGTTGGGAATGTAGCTGTTGAGTTTATATGTTGGGAATGTAACTGTTGAGTGCATTAGTTGGAAATGTAACTGTTTAGTTTATATGTTGGGAATGTAACTGTTTAGTTTATATGTTGGGAATGTAACTGTTGAATTTACATGTTGGGAATGTAACTGTTGAGTGTATTAGTTGGGAATGTAACTGTTGAATTTATAAGTTGGGAATGTAACTATTTAGTTTATATGTTGGGATATAACTGTTGAATTTATAAGTTGGGAATGTAACTGTTCAGTGTATTAGTTGAGAATGTAACTATTGAGTGTATTAGTTGGGAATGTAACTGTTGAATTTATAAGTTGAGAATGTAACTGTTGAATTTATAAGTTGGGAATGTAATTGTTGAGTGTATTAGTTGGGAATGTAACTGTTGAATTTATAAGTTGGGAATGTAATTGTTGAGTGTATTAGTTGGGAATGTAACTGTTGAATTTATAAGTTGGGAATGTAATTGTTCAGTGTATTAGTTGGGAATGTAACTTTTGAATTTATAAGTTGGGAATGTAATTGTTCAGTGTATTAGTTGGGAATGTAACTTTTGAGTGTATTAGTTGGGAATGTAACTGTTGAGTTTATATGTTGGGAATGTAACTGTTGAGTTTATATGTTGGGAATGTAACTGTTGAGTTTATATGTTGGGAATGTAACTGTTGAGTTTATATGTTGGGAATGTAACTGTTGAGTTTATATGTTGGGAATGTAACTGTTGAGTTTATATGTTGGGACTGTAACTGTTGAATTTACAATTTGTGAATGTAACTGTTGAATTCATTAGTTGGGAATGTAACTCTTGTATTTATAAGTTGGGAAAGTTTATTGGGAGTATTAGTTGCGAATGTAACTGATGAGTTTATTAGTTGGGAATTTAACTGCTGAGTTCATAAGCTGAGAATGTAACTATTGAATTTATTAGTTGGTAATGTAGCTGTTGAGTGTATTAGTTAGTAATGTAACTGTTGAGTTTATTAGTTGGGAATGTAATTGTTGATTGAATTTATATGTTGAGTTTATATGATCAAAATGCGACTGTTAAGTTTATGGGATCTAGCGTTTCAACTGAGACACATCTAGTCTATAACTTGTATGATCATTACTTGGAGAGTTTTTCAGGTAATTACTCTCAGACGTGATCAATAAATTATATATGAGATGGTGATCAAGTATAGTAATGCTCACTAATGAGTGTGATTAATACTCTGATCAGGACTGAAAATTATGTATAAATTGTGATGAAAATTGGGTGATCAATACTGGTTGATCAATACTGGATCATCATTACTGGGTGATCAATACTGGTTGATCAATACTGGATCATCAATACTGGGTGATCAATACTAAGTGACCAATATTAATGAGTGATCAATACTGGACGAGCAATACTTGAGCAATACTGGCTCATCAATACTTGGTGATCAATACTAGATGATCAGTATTAGTGAGTGATCAATACTGGGCGAGCAATACTAGTTGATCAATACTGGCTCATCAATACTGGGTGATCAACACTAAATGATCAATATTGATGAGTGATCAATACTGGGCGAT